TGTTTTAGTGTCCCTCACGTATCTCATAGCGATAACGTATATCCTGAAGCTAATACTGATTACTCTTCCAATAATAAGTTTCGACCAGCCGTACGGATATGGCAATACGGGAATATGATCATTAAGAATTTTCAAACTGGATTTGAATTGAATGTACGAATCTGATCATCATTAATGAGATTATTTATATGCACATGCGCAAGTATCTGTATAACCCTTTGATGTTTGTTAGATCCTATGAGTCTTTTTTTCCGAAAAGATAGATATTCCACATATTCAAAAGTGTTCGTTACGAAATGTATAAAGTTATGGAGTAATCTACGTAATTATCAATTATAAATGGGTTTTGTTTTAATCGGGAAACAATTGGTCTTTTCGCTCCTAATCAATATAAGTATTACTCGAAATCTACCATTTTATATACCCATATTTTAAGTTTTAAGCTAATGCATTTGTTACGTATTCCTAAGAAGCGATGTTGGTTTTAAATCTAATATAAGTATTATATATGGGAGAACGTCGACGCGAATTTTGGCCCGCAACAAAAAGGACCTTTTTTTTTCTTTTTTTGCTCATCACAATTTTTCCCGATTTCCAAAACGGACCTTTTTGTTGCGGGCCAAAATTCGCGTTGACTACTCATATAATAATATATATTTATTAGTTCTTATTACTTCACTAATTTATTTCTGTAAACTAAATTAAATAAGAAGTGTTACCTTTGAAAGCTTTGTAATGGTTGATCTGCTTTGCGAAGATATAAACGGTTTAATAGAAGACGAAAAACTTTGAGTAATAATGTGCTTAGAGATGTCTTATAGTTATCTGCCAGATGTCTATTGTAATTTTTGTAGGATAGAAAGAGAAGAAGGAAATTGGTTTTCTAACGTAACGGAAACAGCAATTTTCAGAGATAGGTTCAAGATTCTTGCTATTAACACCTCAGAGTTCAGCAGCACAATATCGAGAGCACATGGCGGAATTTCCTTAGAATCTGCTAAACAGCTGTGTTTTAATAATCTTAAAACTTCAAATCTTCAATCTTTTGATATAGCGTTTGTATCGAAGCAGAAAGTGCAAAATAGGAACCAAACGGGATGGCAGAGAGATACTACAAGCTACACCGCGTTATGTCTTCGTTTTCGAATTATTTTTTTGTAAACACGAACCGGTCTATTTAGTCACTTTACACAATGATATTAATGTCTTATAAGTTGAAAAGATCTGAGTATTTTGTAGATTCCAAATCAAGTGAATTTTTACATAGGATAATAAATATTTCGATAAAATGGTTACAATAAACAGAAGCTAAATTTTGCTGATGCCAACGATTTACTTATGCACCTGCTTTCAACCAAAAATAACAATTTGGTTTGACTTATTCACAGAAAATTGGAATTTAAAATAAGCCTCAGATGAGATTTCTAATTACTTTGGAAAAGTGTGGTGTGAATACTCCTCTGACAGCAACTTCTCCAATGCTTTCATCGAAAATAAAAGGACTCCAATACCTCTTTCAAATAATATCGATAGATGTGCCATGTTCCTGGAAAATTGCGTATCTACCTCAGAACTTGGAAGTTGTCCCTCCAATTTGAAGGGGAAGACACCTGGTCTAGACCGCAGCTCATACCAAATGATCAGTGCTATGCCTAAGTCTAGTAAAAAGAAATTACTGGACCTATATAATACGGTATTTATGACTGGCCATATACCCTACATGTGGAAACTGGCAACAGTTGTTCCAATTCCAAAATCAAAAATGTCTCCTTCGCATCAGATTATCGCCCAATTTCTCTTTTATCTTGCCTCTCTAAGGTATTAGAGAAGATTATGGCATCTAGATTATCTTGGTTTCTTGAGTCCAAGAACCTGATAACAAAGCAACAAGTTGGTTTCAAGCGGGGTAGAGGGTGCATCGACGCTCTGTTACATATTGATTATTTCACAAGCAAAGCAATTTCCGAACGAAATCACGTAACAATTCTCTCAATTGATTTCGAAAAAGCATTTGACAGAGTTGGTCTTCTTGTTATCTTAAGACTCTTGAAATCATGGAATGTCGGACCCAAATTCTTCAACTACATCAAATCATTCATGTCGCATCGGCGGTTCAAAGTTAGAATCAACAATCATCTTTCCGATTTCTTTCCGCTAAAGAATGGCATTCCGCAAGGATCTCCTCTCTCTGTCACGCTTTTCCAGATCGCTTTCAACGAAATTAGCAAAATTCTTTGACGTGTACCAAGAGTGGAACATTGCCTCTACGCGGACCATGTATACATTTTTACAAAAGAAAAAGACAACACGAAAGCAATCAACATCCTCGAATCTATTGCATGTGAGATCTCCACATGGGCAAACTCGTCAGGAGTTAAAATTTCTATACAAAAATCAAAAAAAATGCACATTTGTCGAAAACAAATGTGCGATGCAGGAAACCTACTGATGCATATTAACGACTTACCAGTACTAAATGTGCAGACGCTCCATGTTCTCGGGCTCACGTTTTCCAACAATTATCGTTGGAAAGCACACTGTCTTCGGTTAAAAAACTCCCTTTTAACAAGGGTAAATTTCATACAGCACGTTGCTTGGAGAAGCCATGCACATATTAACACTATTGCTTATCTTACCAAAATGCTTGTGTTAAGCAAGATTGACTATGCTTTGATAATTTATGGCAATAGTTGCAAATCTAATATCAACATCCTTAAACCGGTCTATCACCAAGCCGTCAGAGCAAGTTGTTATGCTTTTCGGACGACGCCCATAAATAATATTATAATTGAAACTGGTCTCCCAACTTTAGAAAATAGACTGTATGAGTTAAAGGCTAACTGGATTTTGAAAGACTGCTCTTTTGACATCTCACTGTCTATGCACAAGAAAGAAGATACTCCAAATTACGTCTTCAGGAATCTAATAGTTGAAAAAACACAAGTATTGGACAGTACTGGTTAGAATCTTTTGTACACAGACGGCTCAAAATCTCCTGGTCTGCCTCCTGCTTGTGCGGTGGTAGATGCTACAGGACGGGTTCTTCTCAACCACATATTTCACGAAAGTACTTCAACTTTCACAACGGAAGCCAGAGCTATCCATCACGCTACCAACCTTGCCCATAAAAACAAACTCAAAACCGTTATTGTTACCGACAGTTTGTCTGTATTACAAGCTGTCCGGAATCCTTCGACTTCGAGATGGAGCACCATCAACAAATTAAGGAATATAATTACTACACCCGACGGAAAAATTAAAATGTTATGGGTACCAAGTCAAATCGGTTTACTGGGAAATGAGCAGGCTGATCGAGCGGCAAAGTATGCTTCTGCTCCTCTAACTATGGATGATGTCATGGAAAAGTTCGATCTTCAAAGATACATTGGAAGAAAAGTTCGATCTTCAAAGATACATTGGAAGAAAAGTTAAAGAGAAAATTGCAGAAGGAAATTTACAATACCATCATCAACACTACTCTTGCATTAACCCTCAATTAACTCCACCTCTATATCCAACAAATGTTGAGAAAACCAAGATCCAAACATTCTCGAGAATTCGCCTTGGTCATACAATTGCAACTCACCAATGGATCCTGAAGAAGTCTTCTTCCCCAATCTGCAATCTGTTGTGGACAAACTCTTACTATAAAGCACATTCTCTGCGACTGCCTCAACTTTTCCTTGGCTAGAAGTATTGCATTTGGAACGATTAACCCTTTGAACATTCTACAATCAGCTTCAGAACAGAATATCAATTCTATACATTACTTTATTAATACTACTAAGCTCATTATCTAATGCACATTTTATTATTCTTTTTTATAATTAGAGCCGATAGCCTGTGTTGCTAGTGCTCAATGTCTTTTTTTAGTCTAAGAATTCATTTCATTAGTCTAAAATTAAAATAATAATAATAATAATAATAAAATAAGCCTGACCTGACAAGATAATTTTTAAAAGACAAAGACAAAATTAGCAAATTCCCGTAGTGTACTTTGAAGCATTTTTTGAATTTTAAAAATTTTGAAAAATCAAAAATTCTTCCTCAAGTTTCTTTAAATTGAACTCATTTATTGAGAATACCTTGGAACTAATCAATAAAATGCACGGTCAATTTGTAAACAAAAAGTGCGATTGAAATTATCAACGAAAAGCGAATAGCAAGCGCGAAACCTTGCGATACAAGAACGATCATTTCGATGAGAAATTTATATAGTTTTCCGGTATTTTTAAGACGGCGACATTTCACAACTAACCGGGTAAGCTAAAATCATTATTTACATACGCCGGTTTGTTTACGCAAGCGGTTTTCGCCATGGTAATCCAATACGCTTGATATTTAGTGATGTGAGCTTCTCATTTCTTTGTCTTTCCAATACATATGCGGCAAATCTGCTTGCCATTTTTGCAGGTCGTGCAACATATTTATCACTAAATTATTGGGGAGAGAAAAACATTTAATTTCGGTCAACTTCACGCAATATCAAGCGCAATATTTCCTAAATGTTATTAGGAGAATGGTCTCTGGTGCTAACCCCCTATTTTCACTTTCTCTGGGAGTACTACACGCACCATATTATCGCATATGGCGTTCTAAGGTATTAATCCAAGCACTATAACTTAAAGTGCTTCTCCAATAACGATACGTTTCTTGTATCCTATGCCTTATATGTGCAGAATTTTTCTGCCGCTAAACAGCTGGTCACAAATACTTACTAAGTAATGTGGTAGTCAGCGCACTACCACATTGCAGCGATCATATGTTGCGTCAACGCAATCGAAGCTCGTTTGGATGAACTGAAAACGTTCCTCGGATCCAAGGTAGTATTGTTTATTTCCATTCTATAATTACTGTGTGTATGGCATTTACTACATTAGTTGAATGCAACATGTTCATTTTACGTATAATATATTCTTTTTATATTTTGCCTGTATAACTCAGAAGGCAATTAAAACGTGAAATGCTTTATACTTCATACAGATATTTACGCACTAATAAAAATTTATTTCAATAATTGTTATTCACATTAACATTTTTCACTTAATCATTTTCACACCACTATGGCTCATGCGTCCGTTTATTCCTCCACTTTCAGTCTGTTACTGCGCCAATCTTTTCCGATTCAATATTAAGGGTTGCTATGCCCATAAGGTGTGACCTCTTTTGTCTTTCACATACTAATCTGTTTGACCTGTCAGAATGTCAAATTGAAGAGTTGAAAGGGAAACACTTGTTATAACATGTAATATTTTACATTACACGCCCATCAAAGTGTTATTACACAGATAAAGTTAATTAACATTAAATTTAAAGCGAAATAAAGGAGGAATGAAGCGATGGAAACTTCTTCCCGAAGCCGAAATGAGTGAAGAAATTATTAGTATATCACTTTCCTTTAACTAAATAATGGACAGAAGGTAAAATAATTAATGCTTATGACAACTGAAAACATTTTGAAAGCAGATAAATAAATAATTTGGTGAGAGCGCTTAGTTTAAGTATTCGTTTTTAATTTTCAACTTTATTTCTATTCTAAGTGCATTCCAATCAAGGAGTATTATAAAAGATTCTTTGCGCAACAATGTGCTTGCGAAAAAATGTGCTTTCTTCAGACAAGAGCTCAATAAAAATTTTAAATCGTAAGACGACGTCATCTGGACCAGGCTACATAATAACTTTAAAACGGTAGGCGTAATAAAGACTTTCAGACTTCTAAAAGTAGAGTTAGAAAATATATCAAAAGACTTCAGATAACACAGATAGGAGTTGGCAGAGCTGCTTGGTGTAGCATCAGATTGTTGAAAAAAATTAGCAATTGAAATTGCATTTTACAAAACACTTAAAATCTATGAACATGAAAAACGTTACAGCTCTACGCTTTGAATCAACTAATTTCAAGGCGTACAGACGGTCAGAATCATTTTGTAATGAGTTTCATAATGCAGGCCTTATAACACGTTTTACTTAAAACATTGAACTCAAAAGTTATTTTCTTTATTGCGAACTGTTCTTCAGTCAACAATAACAGTAGTAATTCCCTGATGCCAAGTCTAAAAACTCTGCCACTATATAAGCTTCTGGGAAACGGGACGGAAAGTTACATTAGCAGAACACAAATGCGGCTGATGTTATTTGAACAGAATGCTCCAAATTTGTTTCGGCTCTTATCCAATTCTGAATTGCGACGCTAAATAATGAAATGTACTCAACCTATCACACAAGCAAAGTCATCAATAGGTTTTTATTGAGGGAAAACGAATTGTACCTATTAATTGATTGTGAATCCATAAAACGGCCCAAAAGTCATCTCGGAATGCCGGAGCAAGCAGGTAAGAAAATAACATTCATCTGCGATCAAATCTTCTATGAACAAATTCATCATCTTTATCTAAAAAAAAACATCAAAACTAAATTTTCATACCCTATAATATTAGGCGGATGTGGCTGATTTTTTCCATTTTTATAGAATATACGTTGAAATTTTTATTGTGTACCTGTTGTAGTTTATGAATAGTGAGCAGAAAATCCATAGAGCGGAGGTGTTCTTAGTTCACGTTGTACTATGTTTCAACGGACTGGCCTTATTGTCCACTTTCCGAGGTATGTCGCAAACTACGTCAGCTTATTGTGGAGTTTATGAAGTGTCTTTCTGAAAATTGCAAACGTTTCGGCAAAATTAATATACAACACCCTTTGGTGGTGGATGTATTAATTTTGAATATCTATTTATCTCAACCTAATCTCCTCATATTTTTCAAGATCTTCATGAGCTTTGATAACTTACTTATAGCGCTAAGAGTCAAGCTTCTCAAAATAGTCACCAAAAAAAAAAGAATATGATTCACCGATATAGCGTTGTCTTACGAATGCTTGTACTATTCAAACCCTTCGAAACTTTAGGTGTCAAACAGTGAAAAAAATAACTGAGCAAACAAAAAATTCTTAGCGCAGGATTTGTAGCAGTAAATATATTACAGTATTTATAGTACGATTTGCCGGACCATACCCTATACTCAGCAGATTTTAATCTTTTGAATTCGGTCTGCACTCAAACTTCCAAAAACTTTGAAATTATAACAAGCTTGCAGCAAATGTAAACCAGTAGGAAAGTTTCCTTAAAATAAGTATATGATATAAATAAATTGCGAAACATAAAATATGTGAAGTTTAATGGAGAACATACTAAAGAACAGATACATTTTCAGCTTTTATGTAGCGCTATATTATGCTATATTATGCTTAAGGTATGAAGTTTCTGAATGATATGAAAAATTAACTCGACTACGTTACACGATTCTTGTATTATCATTAAACGACAAATATTGCTTTTATCAGTGGTTACATAAAATTAACCTCGATATTATGCCGCTTTATACTCAGATGCAGAACACATGGTTTTCCACTGTCGGTGCGTGCTTGCTATGACAATTTCCTGACGAGAGATTCGAGTAGATTATGGCTAAAGCGCCGGTTGCAAATATAACCAAGCGACAGAACAGGGAAATAGAACAAATCGGCTTTTAATGCCGCTCCCATTGCGGTAATGGGTAAGCAAAATTTATTGGAATATTTGAAAATATAATGATACTTAGAATTGTCGATTTCGGAGCGTACGCTTTTAACACTCATACATGCTTTAAAATAAAGAGTATCGTTTAAAATCTCATAAAAGGGCGTTGCGCATCCCTTTTAATAAAGATACACTTCCAATGGTTGTGTAATCATTCACAGTATGCACACTTCCTTGCATAAGTACTCACTGTATTCCTTCATACATATATTAAAGAAAATTAATTAAATATTTAACTTTTATCAGAGAAAACATTTTAACTTTTGTTATAATTTCGCAAATAAAAAGCAAATATTTGCGAATGAGAGGTACAAACAGACATACATGCATACACACAGGCATATACTTATATGTTACATGTAGCTTCTGCAAAGTTTTTGCTCTTGTAGTCGTTAAAAGATTGAAGCACTTAACATTATTAGGTGGATAGAGCAAGGATGGACAGACGTACTAACAGGAAGCCATAAAAAGGGTTAAAGGTGAATAAATATTTATTTGAGGCCAATTAAAATACAAATCGTGTTTAACGACGGATTCAACACAAAGATGAGCAGTAATATCTTTTATGCGAGGAAATCAATGCTTTGGTGAAAAACAAAGAGGATGGCGAGAAAAGAAAAGGCACAAATAGCAATGAAACTAAACGTTTCATATGCATATGCATGGTACAGTACATCAATACCCGCTGAACACAAACAAATAATGACTGGTAGATCTTCACCATTATGTTAAAACTTGCTATGTTTACCATGCGAAGAGAGCTCACTTTGGATTTAACTGACTGCTGTTAATTTGAAAAGCATGCATTTCATCACAAATAAGACACAAAATTTTTGCCGGCGGCTGCTACAAGAAAGATTTATTGGAATATTATAAAATTGCTTTTCACTGTTTTGCTATTTATTTTTATCATTATTGGACAAAAACGCAATTGCCGCCACTTTTATATTAAGAAAATGTAATAAATGTTTGCAGACTACAAAAGTAGCAACGATGATCTCCATATAGAAATGATATTTCTACTACTAATCCGACCTCAATTGCTCAAGACAATGCTGGTATTGTTTTCAAAGCCAACTCCCTTCCTGTGTCCCGTATTTTCTACACATGTACATGTGCATGTATTTAAATGTAGGCAAACAAATTTTGTTTACACAATATGACATTAAGGATTAAAAGGCAGTAAATATTCCCTCTAACGTGAATCCCGTAGACACACAACACATACAAGTGTCAAATGCCGTAAGTATGCATATGCATTCTGAATATAAAGAAAGAACTACATGGGCGTTCATTGATGTCATCATCATTACTATCACTGCACGCGTGTGTCATCATTAAAATCTGATTTTTCATTTGTCGTTCACTTGATATCTTCTGTTCTATATTCTTCCATGCCCATGCCACATGATTACTGCAAATCTTCGATACCCTTCTTCTTGTCGTACACACTTTTTACTTTCAGCCGAATACAACGCAGTGATTGACATTAAATCGTGGTTTATCACAAATAATTTGTTGTAAATCATGTATAACAAATCGATTTTTTTATGGCGTTAATTCAGTTCAGCGATCGCCAAAGTATGTTCTTTGCAAAACTTAGGAAAATGGTTGAATATTTTGATATCATATACGAAGTATAAGTTTCAAGGAGTTTAGCAGCCTTAAAACAAGCTTATTTTCATTCTTTTTTGGGAGAGAAGAAAAATTAATAATATCATAATAATCGAAAAATTAATATTAAGCAGATTTTTAAGGAGGAAAAATTACAAGACGGTAAAACCGTAGTAATTCTCGCGAAGCACGTTCGCTTTTAGCGATTTTGCTGCGCGCAATCAAGCTTGTACAAATTTGAATTTACTATAAATGTAAAAAAAAAATTAGACTTCTATGGCAAGAGGAGTGCGAGATGTCTCCAAAATAGACAATCCTCGCTAATAAATAATGTTTAAATAAGCTTATCGAAAATCGAATATACGACGATAATACGGCAACACTCAATAACGGAAAATCGAATTAGAAAAGTGTTAATACCCCGTTTCCATCAGACTATAAACATTTTTTAATTAATGGAGGCCAAAATGTAATTTCAAGCCTTTTAAAAAAGTTTAAAGAAAGTAAATCGATCCGTATCAATTACACGTTAAGAACTTCTATAAGAAGGCTAGTCATAGTATACCTTGTATCCACACGCGTTGTGTCTGTGTGGTGATTTTTGAAGTATACATACACACTTATAGTTCGCTGTTTCACTGTTGTCGCATCGTCCTTTACATATATGATGAGTACTAGTCGTTATGCTCGTTCGACAATAATTCCTATATTTTTTGCACGAATACTTCACAAGCCTGCATATAAACTGCAGTTGATAGTCGATTAACAACTTAGGTATTCCAAAATAGGTAACCAATGAACGTGTGCAGTGTGATTTTATTTTGTGTTGTTTTTTTAATCGATCATATCGGAAATAAGTAGTATCCATTCGATTCGACTTGTGCTGAATATAGATATTTCAGTTGTATATTTTCATTTACATCATGTCCTTTATATATTCTTCTAAGCATTTTTTTTACAATTCGTCACTTGAGTTGAAGAGCAAAGCCAACAAAATATCGCTTAAATATTTAAGAGTAGAATATATTAAATTTTGGTTTTCGTTTGCAGAAAGAAAAGAACAATGCATGATAGTAAGGGGAGAGATTGAATGTAATGAACTAAATTATTATTGAATGTACGCGCATCGTATAAGGTAAATGTATAAGTTAGGAACCGATATACGTTGTATATATATGTCTGAAGAAAGGTTATTTCTAAATTCCTGTAGGGCGGATCGAGCGGCAAAGTATGCTGCTTCTGCTCCTCTAATTAAGGATGATGTCATGGAAAAGTTGGATCTTCAAAGATACATTGGAAGAAAAGTTAAAGAGAAAATTACAGAAGGAAATTTACAATACCATCATCAACACTACTCTTTTATTAACCTTCAATTAACTCCACCTTTATATCCAACAAACGTTGAGAAAACCAAGATCCAAACATTCTCGAGAATTCGCCTTGGTCATACAATTGCAACTCACCAATGGATCCTGAAGAAGTCTTCTTCCCCAATCTGCTGTTGTGGACAAACTCTTACTATAAAGCACATTCTCTGCGACTGCCTCAACTTTTCCTCGGCTAGAAGTATTGCATTTGGAACGATTAACCCTTTGAACATTCTACAATCAGCTTCAGAACAGAATATCAATTCAATATATTACTTTTTTAATACTACTAAGCTCACTATCTAATATCCATTTATTTAAATTAGAGCCGATAGCCTGTGTTGCTAGTGCTCAATGTCTTTTTTTAGTCTAAGAATTCATTTCATTAGTCTAAAATTAAAATAATAATAATAATAATAAATTCCTGTAGTAAATAAAAAAGGACGGAAAAAAATTGCGTTAACTGAACTCCGAAATGTTCCCACAATGAAATCCTTGAGAAAAGCAACTTTTTTTAACGTTATGTGATTGATGGGCGCAATTACCGCATTCGCTAGGCAAACCGATCTGTAAACTTACGCTGATCTTGAAAATATACAGTGTTCAGCGATTTCTTTTGCGTCTCTCTATTTTAAGCTTTTCAAGCCGGTTGATGACGTTAATAATTAAAGCAAATATAAAATAACGAATGAAGAAAAACAACTAATAGTTCGGAAAGTAGATGGCTTATTAAAAGAAATATCGCACTCAATTTTCCTTTATCATAACATCCATCCATCCACAGAGTAAATTAATACAAATTCCTCTAGAATGTATAGGCTGCTAATTAAAATGTTGCTTTACTATGTGTTAAAGATACGATTAGTTTGTCGCTGAACAACCTACCTACACCTACCTGATATTTCAAAAAGCCACTTTCAAGTGGTTAATAGGTAATAGTGGTTAATTTAGGAGAGTTGATTTGATAGCTTTTAATGAATCCGATTAAGCTTTATGCTTTATTGCAAGCATTGAGCCTAGACTTTGCCTAAAGCTGAGCAATAATTATTGCGGTTGACATACAAGGTACGAGAACATTCGCAAGTGTTATGTGAAGGTAGTCCGCAGGTAGCAACATCTTGGATGGCTATTACATCTGTTGTTGTGTATTCGAGGCGCTGGTAATGTGGGAGTTTTGTGAAGTATTGGAGAAACTCACAGGGCAAAAAAAAAATTGTATTGAGTGTTGCTTTTATATTTTCGAACTGATAATGAAAACTACAATTGTTAAATTTGCCAAATTTTTTTTTTAGATTTTCCTTTCATAAAGTTTTTTGTTAATACTGTACTAAATTAGCACTGCGCCCACGAGTGAATACAAATTAATAAATTCAACCTGTTTACAGTAATTAAAGTCTGAAGGTGTTTTTTATGGACGAAAATCAAGAACATGTATTGTAGCCGCTCCGAAACCAACGTAATAGACATTTTAACCAATAAAATAAAATAATAAATAAAACTAACTCACATCAAAAACATTATACATAACAAGACACAAAAACATCAAATATGACAAGACAGGGCTTTTCGCTAGCAGGCTTGGGCACTAAAATTATTAAGTACTACAGGTAAGAGTTCGAGAAGAGAGAGAACGAGTTTCAGATGCTCTACGCCACTTCGCTTAGTACAGTTATTTACACGCTTTGGTGATAATATCACAATACAATAAAAACTACACATTATTTTGTTTTACCCATGTATGTAAAATATCACATGACGACATTCAAATTTCGCAAACTTAGTTTACTTCGTAAAAATTTTATCATTTTTCAGTTTCTTTCGTAAAAAGGGATGATAACCCTTATACACATTAGAGTCTAAAAAACCGACCTGTGTGATTCTCCACCGTTAATTTTTTTGCTAGTTTGCTACAACGGAACAATTTTGATCATAAAATATAAAAATTGAATTAGTTTCACCATGTAATATTGAAAAATTATATCTTTTTACCTCATAAAGGTTCAGTTTGCGTAGGAACGGTTATATGAGAAGGTTTTCAGAGTGTTACAACAGCCGAACCAAATTTTTCGTAACGATTTAGAATGTCAAATTACTCAAAGAGTTTTGTCAAAAAACTTTGAAAATTGTACTTTTTTTGAAGAAGTGGCCATAAAATTGGGGCGATCAGAACTATTCTCAATAGCGTTCTTTTTTCGGTCAAACATCAAACATATTAAGCGCTATTCTAAAAACCCCCGTTTACTTTGCATTAATAGCAAGAATTCCAAAAGTGCTTGCAAGATACATACCATTAAATAAAAAACGAAAGATATTCTGTAGCAAATCCGAGTGTTGTGCGGGCGATATCATGTAGGAGTAACGACAAATTAAGTCTTATCTTTACTATGTTATGGCACTTGTAGTAAGTTATTCATACAAAATAATGTGTAGTTCACAATACACTTCGTTTTTATCTAGAGAAGTCCACCTTTCTATTATTGTCTTACAAAAGCCGCTACTAAATTACCGCTTTGCTTAGTACAACCCTTCACCCATCGTCGTAACTTTTCATAAGAGCCTTTATCTGGGAAGAGATCTAAGAAATAAACCTATATTTTCAAAACTTAATACAGTAAATTTATGTATTAAATGTGTTGACCTTGCCCTAGAAGAACGTAAGAACGTGCCCATTTTTAATAGACGACCTCTTAAGGCATGTGGACTGACCACAAGTACGCATAGACGGGGATCAAGTAGAAAGACGAATAGGCATGCTAAAAACCACTCGAAAAATTATTATGTTTCTCATTATTCCGTTTATGCGAAAAGAAATTGTCATAATTACATTCTTTTTCAAAAGTCTTATAGCGCACAGAAGCAAGATTCAAAAAACTTATCAAATATGTAAATTCTTGGCCAGTTTCAAATTCGGAATGCACCTAAGCACGGGCGTTCATTTATCTGTCAATCTGTCCGTCTGTGCAACGGTGTAGTATCTGTGGTAAACATTCTCGCGTTCACAAATGTAAAGATAGCGACTAAAAATTGGCAAAAGAATTTAAAAATGACCCAAACTTTTCAAAGAACACGCCTATAGCGCCAACATGTCTATGTAACAAAAACTGTGAACAACTTTGTTTTCCGTGCTTTTTCGTCTTACTACTACTTACTGGATAGCAGACACAGAACAAGATCCTCTGTTTCCTATAGCTGCCATTATGTAAATGCGGGCAACTAAACGTTAAACTGTAATGTAATTTGTATAATTTAAAATGTTGAGTAAAGACCTAAATTCGTGGATGATCTAAAAGGCAACCGAAGTCGTATCTCTTCAAAACAAAAATCGAAAGGTATACTTTCATACAGGAAGGAGGAAATCACAATAATTGACGAGATGGACTAATTTCAGAAAGAACAATGATTTTTGGACTGAAATATTTAAAGGAGTTTTGTATCCCCTAATGATTAACTTCTTATGCCATTTGTCGAACCAGTGTATATTACGAGCGTCCAAAATTCAGGATCGATTTAATCTTAACCTTTCACAACTTTGTCTAGCAGCGCTCTTCTCTGCGTAATCCATTTACTTTCATTTTTAATAATAACAATAGTGGACAGCAGCAATCCTTTTTTAAGAAGAGTTCCAAACTCTTATTTGCACATGAATTGTTATTTAATAATTATTATTATCTTTTTTTTTCTTTTTTATTTCTCCTTACATACTTTATGCTAGTTTTAAATATGAATTAGTATTTATTGGTTTAGTTGAGTTTCATGTGTAAGTAAAATAAAATAAATAAAATCTATAAATGTTACTTATTGAATCAAATTTTTTGTTTGCATGCGTCTACATGATTACTTATCGAATATAACAGAATTTACATATGTCCATTAACTCTAGAAAATTTTCCGTTTTTCAATTGTTTATTTCGTAAAAATATTTAACTCAGAACAAATAAAAAAAAGCAAAAAAACGGCGGAAAACAAATCAGAATGGGTAAACATGATCGTTACGCGTTTTAGACAAAGTTTACATTTTTGCTGTTCACAGATTCGAAAATAGGTCTGAATTGTAACTTAAACACACTGGACGACGTACCAGCGGAAAATGAGTACGACTTGCTGCCTTGTCAGAAAAAATTTCGAATAAAGCCCGAAGATGAGATCAGTGTGGATAGTATTATTTCCGCTTTGCTTTCGCGTATCGAACCTTCAGAGATGACATTTCGCAAATACAGATTCGACGTAGCTTCCAACGAATTAATGAACGAAAAGCAAGCAATTATCTTTAACGAGAATTTGTATATTTCGAAATTAAAGAACAGCGCGTGTCGTTTGGAAGAGGAAGTGCGATTGCTATTGGAAAAGGATCTGGAAGAGATTGGTGAATTTAACGTGAATGTAGAAGAGAGTTTCGATGGATTCGTAGTATTTAGCAAAAGCAAAATGCGAAAAGGTAAAAACAATATCGAATGCGGTCACTGGGTGCGCGGCAAATATAATGATCATCTTAGTTTGATATGCGAGAAACGTAGTGAATATGACTATGTCGATAACAGTAGAATTGTAAGATATGAACTATTTAATCAAAATGACTTGATGTGCATATATAGAATGGCTTTTCAGGAGAAGTCTTTAGATGCTCGTATAGTCGACGGAAAATTGATAGCGAAACGTGATGTATCCATTAACAAAGACACTCAAAGATTCAAGGCTGTTATAAATATGAAAGGTCGTGATGACGTTCTGGTGTTGGATGGTGGTATACTATTATTGACGCGCTATTTAGTTGTCAATAATTTCATAGGAGATTTTTTTTACTTCTCTATGAATCTATTTGGTAAGCAAGTATTCAATAAATGTATCGAGAGATATGTTCATGTGTCTTCCGAATAAACGCAGGGAAAATTTTGCATTGTAAAATGACGATAAATGCTACGCGTAAACGCATTAAAGTCTTCCATCGCACCTTCCAGAACGCCATACATGTAATTAACGTTCAATATTTTAATAATTATCCCAGCGAAGTGTGTGAATCGTACTATACTCCCAACGGGAAGTTGATTTTACATTTTTGGCACGACTTCCAGTACATAATACATGAAACCAAAGGTTTCATAAAGCCTGTTGAACGCATCGTGCCTAAGTTAGAGCTTATGTGGCGCAGTCACCATTTGTTGCTTGATAGATATCGCTCTCGGAAGCAGCTCACTTATGAGACGGCAATGGCGTATTTCAAAGAGCATCCAGAGCTAACTGACTTCCTGCACGACTATCTACTGAATGTAATCAAATTTAAACCTCTGAATGTGTTAGATTTCTCTGTAAGATTCTTTCAGAAGTTTAAAAAAGTTCCAGCCACTCAAGTATTTTGAAATAGGACAAGAATAAACTTATGCTCTTGTTTTTGAATTTTTTTTGTACTCCCTGACTTTAGACATAAAATTTTACATATATATATATATATACAAAAAACTTAGCAACATACTTTTAATCCGACTTTGTTTATATTGTCATAATAAAAGAAATTTTAGTTGAACTTGAAAATTGCGAATGAAACTTTTTTTTTAATAATCAAAAATCTTTCTTTGATTCGTTTGTTAGTAAAGAAATTTCCGAGACTCTTCCTTTTTTAAATTAATATTATGTCAAATTGTGAGGTAAATTAAACTGACGTGGAATTTATGCATCAAAGTGTATTGCTTATAAATTTTAAATTAATTATGTAGAACTCGTTACCTCCTAGCGACGGACAAAATGGGCGACTGATAGAAAAAACTGGAGTTAGTATTTCAATTCCGTAATATTGTACATCAGACATTAAAAAACTCGATTTCAGGATGCTGGAAGACCCGTTGAAGAAATGGATTTTAAAATACCTCGTAGAGAAGACGCTGGTGAATCCAATATTCCAGTAAGCTTTGTATCATTTAAAAAGTTCAAATTATTTCTTATCACTCGTTAGATGAGCATAAATCCACAGGCTGACGATTCCAACAATCCTCCATGCTATTTGCCACAACCAGAAGATGAGCTGCCCAGTAAAGATAACTTGCAACCCATGGGACCTATAGGACCATGGGCGACAGGTAAAGTTGATTGGAGCCCAATGGCCGGTCTAACGGGAACTCGGCCGGTAGTAGATCGTTATTCAATTACACGTTTCAGTTCCAACGAATGGAGAGCCAAGAATTTAGAAACCGTTAAAAATACCAACAAAGTTTTCGACAAAGCCATTAAGTAAGTAAAGGATAGGGGTGAACTTCTCAGAAAGAGTCTAGTTTTCTCTTGTCCTGATAGAAACCAATATAACTCGAAAACAACCCACATGCGGATTTCCTCGCTCGTGGAAAAAACGCAGACTGAGACAACGGCTAGTATGCGCCAACGAGCTCAGCTAGTTGGTAAGTGGAAGACCACTTTAGAAGTCGCTATCAAAGCTATGGCTGATGAAATAAGTACTTTGGAAGAAGAACGTGTGCGTTTAAAGAAATCCTTGGTTATTTTGGGTGTGCCAGAATCCATAGGTGCGTTGTTTTACGATAATCCGAGGAATTCGTTGATTGTTTCTGATTTCACTGATTGTAAACAGCCAAAGAATGTATTGATAAACGTACTGGACGTCCGGACACCGAATTGGTGCGCGATGTTCCCGAAGAGGAGTTGGTAAACGAATTGGCTTTATTGGCTGAAATACGTCAGTTGCTTAAAAAAACCTTAGAAGATTTCGAACAACAACAGGTAGAAAATCGTACAGCCCGCCAAAGACTAGAATATGATTGGAGTGACAAGAAAGAGGCTTATGAAATTGATTCCATCAATGTAGGTCTTGACAATAACTCAAAAATCATAATGTTTAGACCAGGTGCTGTACGTCAACCACCTGAGTAAGTACATGGTCACTATATGAGATTGATAAGGAAATGTTTTGAATTCTTAGACAAGCATCCGAGCAATATTGGGAGCATTTTAGCAAGGAAACTTTGGAAGAATGTGAAAAATGTCGCCAAAAATCGGTAAGATTTTTACAACAATGCGCAGAGCTAAAAAATCACAATATGCATCTTCGACAGGTCTCTTTGCGCCAAACTTTAAACTCAATTCTCTTAAATACTGCTCGTGATATACGAGGTCAAGCCGATACAGTGGAGAAAGCCTTTGTTACTCGTATTAATTGTACTCAAGAGAATCTACAACGCTTCGAAAACGATCTAAGAGATGTAAGTTATTGCGCCACATTATAACAAGAAAAGATATGCATTTTGCAATTGACACGCCATTATAATGGGATAACCTTCTTTAGTGTTTACAAAAATTAGCTGATACTGAGAACCGCATTGGCCACTTGCATCGCTGTGTGCGCAGCTTTGATGCCGCCATGAAAGTGGCACATACACGCATGGACAATCGGAGTTTTCGACCTAACGTAGAGAATTGTCGCGACTCTTCTCAGCAAGATCTCATCGATGAAGTGGCCACTATCCAAAGCAGTGTGTCCGCCATGCTTGCCGAATTAGAGGAAGCGGAAACCGTGAAAGCAGATCTTATGCAATTACGCAGTAAACTGGAACGAGAAATCATGTTGAAACGTCGTACGTTATGGTTGGATCGTGATCGTTGTATGCTGTTGAGATCACATTACCCTTCAGCTAATGCCCTCAGCGGTTTTGCTAGCGTTTAACTGAAATTATATGCACTACGTTCTTTTAATCAAACAATCCATGTTTTAATATATTTTTTTCTTTTGAAGTTTTCGTAAAAAATAATCGGTTTATATTTGCGGAATGCAAGTACAATATCTATTTAGCATGCGTAACTTTGGGGAAAAATGCTCAGCAATTATCCGCATATCAAAAGATGTAGCCTAGCATTTCAAAAGATGTAACCTAGTTGTTTTAATTCATTTTGCACTTTTTCGTTATTCCTCATATTATCAAACCACCGACTAGGAGAATGCTCTTCATGAAAACCTCCATATCTGAAATCAATTCCGAAAAAGCAAAAAGTAATAAATGTAAAACATTCCCTTTTTAAAATCACTAAATTCGCGTTGCGTTTAAGTTAAAATATATTATATGTTTTCATGTCCTTTAAGTAGATTACAAGTATCTTATGAGTCACGCAATGAAACTACCTTAAGACTCTTTCCTTTAAACAAGGTCCCGCTTATGTTTGAAAAAAGTCTGTAGGAATGTCGGATAGAGTGTAGCTCGTTGTAGCGTAAAATGGCATTACCGTCCCGAAAATAATCATTCAATTATGACAGTAACGTAAAGTAACTAATAAGCTTTCAAAACATTACTATTTCACACATTCTCTTGTATTCAAACTGATGTGTCTCACAAAACATTGTTAAGTATAAACCCGCTTGTGTTATTTAGGATAACAGATTTATTATGTACATACCTCTTTGGTAGATGTTCGGGGCTTATATGTTCATGTAATGATTCCATATCGGAATGAATAAACAGCCTTTCACGCATTGCAGCATTCAAAAAAGGGGTAAACAGTTTGAAGGCGGCCTTGAAAGTCCAATTAGGGTTGACAATATGTAAAGCTGACGTTGAGATTGGCATGGAAGTCTTAATGAAAACATATATTTTGAATATTTTAATGTTAGTGAAAGAAAGAGAGAGAAGTCATTTAAAAATTTATTTTATAAAGCATTATGTATCCAGCCGCAAATTGCACCTTATTATACACTAAAGTGCACTACGATAAGTTACATCAACTAAATTTAATTCAGTTCGTCATTATCAGATGGCCTTTTCATAAATTCAACAAATTGTGGTAAGATTGTTTTTGTTTACGTTGTGCGCTTCATTTTGTGTATCGTTTTAACCAACGATTGGATGGGAGCATTTTTACCATCCGCCTAAAACGCGCTTCTTTGTCGAAGTCTATAAATAAATTGCATAAAAATAGTGTGGTATATGAATGTGAAAGATTAAACGGAATGACTCGTTTCTTTTGAGCCGCCTTCCACGTACACGTTCTTAAAAAAAGAGGTTTTTATGTGAGTAAATGTTGCAATTTTTTATGCATTATGGTGAACGTTTGTCCTTTAAAAACTTTTCTACAAGTTTGAGCTATATAGCTCTAATTTTAGCCACTTCCCATATAAGAGTTCTTATGAAAGGTAAGCCTTTATGTGGAAACAATAAATAATTTTTGATATTTGATGATGAACATGAGTGAAAATCTTTATTAGATGAGCTAACTTGTAAAAAAAAACTTGCTTATAAAAAAAATAGTTTCAAACATTGATCCCACTTATCAGTATACGTTCACAAAGAATTATGGCCTTTTTCAATTTTTTTCTTTATTCCTTTAATTACAATAACCTGGGGGATAAAACCGGGGTGTCACCCATTCAAGTAATACGGCGATGGTCGGAAAGAAGAAGAAAAGCGGATGTCGTCTAGTGACTTTGTGCACGATTGGTAAGTTTCATGCCGTTACTCGCTAATGCTATACAAAAGGCAATTTGTTAAAATTTTTGCATGCGCCCATTATATAGCATTCATCCATTAAAAGAAGTTCCTTTTTTTTCCAAAAACCAAAATTATTTAAAAAAAAGTCGATGAAACAAAGAAAAAATGGACATTAAGTTGACCTTCACATAATTAAAGCTTACAATAATATATATATATATATATATATGTCATATATTTCACTTACCACAAGTAAGGCAATAATTTTTTGTGCATAACTAGGACTCAAATGTACAATTTGGCTTAATGTTAGATTTTGCAAGTCATAAATACCAACACCACCTACAACCTGGCTTATAGGCTCAAGGGAACCCAACTCCAGCAGAATAACCGATACGCGAAATAAAACATCTATACTGATCTCATCGGGCTTCCAATTACCAAAACGGTATATTAATATACGGTGGCCATATTGATCTCTGTAGGGTGTAACGCTGATAATATCAGAGTCGCCTATGTATTTGTAATCTAAGGGACGAACTGTTTCATAATATGATAAGTTTTGCTCCCGGAACTTATAATAATTGCATATCTATAATAGAAATTAAATCGAAAATTATCTTAAAAACTTTATCTGTTAGAATTTTATTAACAACCAAACGATAGCTGCTGGATATTTTCCAAAAACGAGCTCTTAAAAATTTTATTAAATATTCATCATCGATTCGATGCGGCTTACAATCATTGTGTTCTATAAATAGTAAAAATGTACTTAAATTCCCTCCATTTTCAATCTAGAGAAGTAGTTACCTAATATGTATCGACGAAATTCTTCAATATTTTGAGTTTTAGTCTCTTCACATTCCCCCCTTTCTGCAGCAATCCTTTTAAATTCTTCTGGTAATTGTGGTTCCAAATTAAGCTCGTATTGTGTCAATGCCATGATAATTGCTGTTTTAGCATAATGAAAGCTAAATATTATTATCAAAATGTTAACTTAAAAATGAAGTTTAACAGGACATATTTAGTTGCATTTTTGTAATTATTATTTTATTAAAATAGAGGCGATCAGAGCTGAGCGCAGACTAAACCATTGAGAGAAATTTATCTAATTATTATTATAGTCTTTATATATGTAAAAATATAATAAGTCGAGAAAAAAGATCGTGGCGTTTTTCCCGATACACGAATATTGAATCACTTAACTTTGGTAGCATTGACCCTATCAAGGCACTGCGCCTGAATTAGCCAGCAAGTCATAGAAAATTATGAAATCATGATGAAGTTTACTAATTTATTCAAAAGTAATCGCGATGTCACAATGAGCCATAAAAAAGTCTTTACAGTAATTCAACTGAGACGATAACGCGCCTTAGGCTTGTGAAAATCCTTTTGGTTTTTGCAATGAGTACGTTTTGTCAAAATCAGAAGCAAGCAATCTGTTTGCTCCTTTGGTTTCTGGAAGTTTCAACGTATGAACACATCGAAAACGCAGATCAATCATCAATTATCTATAAAAGTCTTCGAAAAATTGAGAAAAATACATAGTCTAGGATGGATGAAGCTGTATAAACGGTAAGAACTTCCGGCTTGACGCCACGCAGGGTATTCCTTTGTATTCGGTGTAAGTGGAGCTGTTCCAACGTGGCCGACGTCCGGAATTGGTCGATAGTGAAGAGGCGGTTTTCCCTCGCGACATTGCCAGACTACTCACACCTTTAAACAATAGCACATATAGTTCTTAATAAAGTTCATTGAAAATAAAATATATTTCTCTTTTGGTAAAAGAACGCCACAAACTTCTCCCTTGGTCTATTATACTACAAGCTAATACTATTTGATGTGTAGGTTTTTCCTATTTGAAATAACTATAATAGCTACTTAAACATGTCAGATAATTATTACATTACAATATGGCATAATTAATAAACCGTAGAGTCAAAGTGCGGCATCATTTATTAATTCAATCCTACTAATTAAGGTTAGCGAAAAAATTCGCTTGGTTCTAAATTGTTAATCTTAATCGTCTACCTAGCATGTTATGCATTGTAATAAAATATGTGCATATTGAATGGGTTCTGAAAGTCGTCTGCTCTTTTACTTATATATCTTTACTAAAGCTAACTTAACGAATACGAATTAAAAACTTTTATTTAAAATTCGTTAACCATTTTAATACACATTTATTATCACGCTATATCATGTATTAATCTAACTTAAGAAAGAGAGTTGTATTCGCCATTTGACGAATCTTGGATGCTCAACAATATCTAAACTGCATTGTACGCTATATTGTGAGAATCACAGAATTTAAAAAAAAACTGTTCTTAGCTTATTAGCAACGGTAGATGTGCGAACCGTTTAATATATGACAGAGAGATAATATTCAAATTTTCGGTTTTTGACGATATTTGAAGGCGTCTTTGGCAACTAATTGTGATAAACCTTGAATGCTAACTTACCGGTAGAATGAGATCAAAGCCAAAGAGATTAATATGTTATTTATAAAAACGTAATCGTTGTATGTACTAATAGAAAAAGAGTAATAAGATATGTAATTGAATGACTTCGATGTTCATTTACATCAATCTTTTAAATTGATCAGCGATAGATCTCTCAATTCTTGATATTGCTACACATGGTAGAAATGAGAAAATAGAGGAAGAAGGCGAAGTTATGCATAAGGACGGCAGCGAACAAATTGTGTTATATATAAAATTAAAAGGTAGACGGACCAGATGTGAAAAAGCTTTCACTTCTTGTTTTTATTCGTTTATCGTCTAAATTTAACACTATGAAGCAAACGCTTCAATGCACTTACACGATTGAATTTATTGATTGTTAAACAGATTAACTGTTTGATTGATTTAATTGTTTGTTTTAATTTTCAATTCCAAATACGATTGATGTTTATTTCCTGGCCTGCCATTACGAAACGTAAGTGAAAATTTAGTTGGCCGAAAATATGTTGTGTGTTCTTTTTTGATGCAAGTAATGTAATTAAACAAAAAAAGAAAACTGAATTAATAAAAAAATGACAATGTTAACTAAAACACTTAACGCAACTGAATTAAATTAACGATCAAGTAAAACTACAAATATTATTTACATTGTTGGTTGCTAAAGCCTATGTACTTAGTTCTAAATGGAGAATAATTTCAACTCAGGTGAGGCTGTTGGAGGGAGACTCAAACTTTTATAGCAATAGAACTAGTTAAAAGCTTTGATGCGAATTCTCGAAGACCTTCAACACATGCGAAAACAAATAAAATAAAAAAAATCATTGTTTTTTGCTTTTCGTACGCTGCCGTTACTTATTATTTACATAGAATTGTTTATAAAAAATTAATAATAATGATAAAAAATTCTTGAAGAAAGAGAGGAAAACCGTGAAACGTGGATATGTTCCATAAACGCGCTAAGGGTTTTTGACATTATTAAACATTTTGAAATGCAGTTTTAATTTTGTAATATTGAAAAATAAAAAAATACGTTAATAATATATTAAGTTAGCAGAAAAGTTCTGCCATATTTTAAATAAAACATTTGGATTTGAAGATGTTTGAATTGTTCATTAGCAGTTAGCAGTCGAATGGTCGATCCTCCCTTTTAACTCCAAAGTGGTTAGATGCGGGTTACCCTCTAATATGGACAGCAAAATGTAATCATCGCCCCGAACGACCATTTTCTGTAATCTCCGGAGCGAAATTTATGGAAAATATCTTTGGTACGTTTCCCAACATATAGTAGGCAGCATAGGATAGCGAAATCGTTAAACATTGGAATCTAATATCGTGAGACGGGTTACAAATATGATACTTGTTTTGTAAAATACGACATTATTCATGAACATAATGTACACTACCTTTTTACATCATATGATTCATATTAAGTTGGCAAGGATATGCAAAGCGCCCAGAAGCATTTAAAACATCCCCACCTTTTAGTAGGAAGGCGATTTAGAATCATTTTCCGACTTAGTTTCAGCTTGTATGGGTATATGTTTGTCTGATGCGTGTCCATGTATTTTGGTGTTCAATCTTTAGGTGGCTGTTTTTGAGATATATTAACGAAATTTTCAACGTACATGTACTAGACCAAATTTTAATAATAAAAAATGTCTTCATTTTTCTGAGCGTGGAAATTTTGATAGAAATTTATTGAAACATTTTGCGAACATAAAATTTTCATTTTTTCAATATGAATAAGCGATGAACGGACAATGAAACTTCCTTTCATAGTTCATTCCACCTAGTTTTCGGGTTTGCTTGAAAATACATACTTGATTGCTGTAATAGCCCATATTCTCTTAAAAACAATCAAAGATCTTCATTCTTCTGCTTTGCAAATGTTTGATAGAGTGTGAAAGTTTAAACAAATTCTTGTCCACACAAATAATGAGAACGAAAGAGCAACAATTTAAATGGCATTTAAATAGTTAACAGTGCAAGGAGAAACTAGCCCTAGCGCGTGTATATGACATGATGCTGGTGCTTTAAGAGAAAGGCTAAATTTATAATAATAATAATAATAATATTAATTTTACAAGTTAGCCTAAAATCAGACTGCCATAAATTTTATTATCAAATTAAACAACGCCCTCGCTAAATTCACTGTTGAAAGGCAAAGCACAGAGTCGTTTTTACTAAATAAATGGTTAAATGCCAAACTTAACAACTTAAATGTAACGTCAATCAACTAAGTTCAATGCCCAACTTAACAGACCAAAGGGATTCAATTCTGTTAAATAACAGACCAACACACAGATAAAAGCTATCGTTGCCTCAATTTTTGAAAAAGCATGACGGCGTATAAAATCACATGATTTTATTTTCTTTTTATAAACACGCCAGTATATGTTTGCTAATGCACAACACATCGGAAATTACATACTCGACTGCATACAAATACACACGATCAATTTTATTTTCACAGTTCGTGAGTTATGCTTTAACTGTTTATTTTACATAAAAAAACAGCTGCTACATAGCTCTATCTATCTGAAGCGTTGTAAAATGTCGTATTACTCTCCAAGAGCTTGCGCATAAAGACTTGGAAAGCTCATCTGATTTTATTTACTAGGTCTGTTACGTATTTGTTGTTTGGTATAACAAAATTAGTGGAAAAGTTTTTTTATTACGTGTAAATTATTGTTTAAACCGTCGTTTATGGGGGAACTGAAAGGTGTACAAATTTTTTAAAATCTGCAACGCGATCAACAATTGCCTTAATGAGTTGAAAAAAAGAATATTTTGCATAAAAAAACTGGAAATGGACCCCATGGGAAGCGCTGCGGCAGCAAACATTCCAAAGAAGCCAAAAATTTATGTTAGTAAGAGTGAAAGTGATAATGCTCATGTTAAAGATGATTATGATGATGATGCGGAAGATTTATGGTGGACATTGCCGCAGCTAGTATTAACAGAAATATTTTGGCTATTACCTGTTAAAGATATCCTTAACGCTGGCTTAACTTGTCGTCGGTGGTACGAAATTGCTAACGATGATTATCTTTGGAAAAGAAAATTTCATCGACATTTCAAAACTGATCCTTGCATCGCCTTAAAACCTGGTTAGCGAATATATTATAAGTGATGATACTTCTTACTAATTATGTTTATGCCAACAGGAGCCGTTTCATGGAAAAGTGAATATGAACGCCTTACTTTTGGAATACCTTTCGTTCAGTCGCAATGTCTTAAAGGTCATGTACATCAAGTCTTACACGTTAGCTTTTCTCATAATGGTGAAATGTTTTCCACTTGTTCTAAAGATGGCTACGTTATTGTGAGTATGATAAAGGGTAATAGCAAATGTTCTGCAACAATCTTAAAATAGTTCACTTAAATAGACATAGTCTAATAAAAAAACTAATTTATTGAGTAGGTTCATGACAACTCTCGCAATAACATTTCTCATATTTCATATTTTAGATTTGGAACGCCGGTCATCCATGCACCGAAAAGTATTCGCAAAACATGAAGAAATTCAATTGGAAATATACACAATACTCACAATTCAATCAAAGCGATAGTTTACTTTTGGTATCTGGCGTTCATTTCGGATCGCCCCACAGTACATCTGGCGAAATAGCTGTGTTTACAGTAGACGGAAATGGTATGTTCTATAAATTCATGCAGAAGCGCTCTTTTAATTTTTACGTATAGTTGAATCTCATTTGCGATGTCGCGTCATAAATCGACCGTATGATATATTTGGAACTTGGTTCAGTGACCAATACCTTATATCCGGGGACTTGCATTGGCTAGCTCAAATGGTTAGTACGTCTATCTTATGGCTGAATAAAGCCAATCAAGAAGTAGATTCGGAACACGTACCTATTATGAATCAACTCTATAAATTCTACAATCGTAATGCGAGTTCGGTAAGAGCCATAATGATGGCTAAGTGCCCATGGTTGGATGAATCGAATGATCCTTTGATAACGGCAAGCACTTCGGATGAAATTTTGGAGGTAAATAAATTGCAGGGATATCTATGCATTCTCTAAATAATGAGTGAGCATCTCTATTATTATTAATATTAGTCACCGTCGGATGACATTGAAATGTCAGAACACTCATTGACTGTTCAAAACTCTGTTGGTAACCCTCTATCTCACTCTGCTTCTTTAAGAAGAGCTTTTCATATATCGTTTGATGATTCGACACCTTCCACGTCGACTGCTTCTTTATCTTTAAATTGGAGTTTGCAGCGCAGCAATGATTCCACAATACATTATTTAGATGAATATCGTCGAGAATTTACTGGAGATTCCGTATCTGATGAGTCGGTAGATGAAGAAGAAGATGAACCAATGGACGCATCTGATGAATATGATGAGATGGAAAACTCTATACCAAAATATCTTATATTTTCTACTGGTTCCAAAACGTATACACCCCATCAAATTGGTATTAAACGTATTAGAAATATAACATTTCCCAAGAAATTAGATCCAGGGCCCTCACTGAAGGAAAGAATCGCCGCAAAGAAGGCAGCCGAACAACAGGTTAGCAAACGCATTGAATTGAATAGTAGTTAAATTTAACAACATACTTCGTTAAGAATCAATTTCGCGATCCTGATCCAGATTGGTGGGACTATGAGGCTGTAGCTGATCGTTTCGATAAAGTTGACAAAGTAATAGACCTTCATGGTCACATTATCGGAATGGCATTAAGCCCCGACCATAGGTACTAGTGATGTTAAATCTGCTAAGGGGATGTAATATTTTTGTATGTTTAGATATCTCTATGTTAACACACGCCCATGGCCTAAAAATTACATTATCACGAACCCCCTGGAACCGCCACCGATTGCTCAGGAAATTGATATACATGTCATTGACCTAATGACTTTAAAGCGTATTGGTAATATGCTGAGAGCTCATAAAGCTTACACCCCAAGCACGGAATGTTTCTTTATATTCTTAGATGTATGTGACGATTATGTAGCCAGGTAATTAATCAAAACATTCACTATCACGTTAAAAATACCTATAATATCTTATACACTTAGTGGTGCTGAAGATATGCACGCTTACTTATGGGACCGATATTATGGCATATCTTTGGCTAAATATAAGCATACTGATGTCGTAAATAGTGTAGCCTTTAATCCTAAAGATAATGAGATGTTGGTGACCACTAGCGATGATTTCACTATCAAGGTATGTTTATTTCATGCCCTACATAATTGCGAGTACACTCCAATACCGATTTCCGTTAGTAAGAATAGACTTTATAAACAACGGGATTCAAATATATATATATATATAATAGGTCATATTGAAAGTTCTGCCTGGGATATCGGGCAACACTCATCTGACTGTCGCAAACGAACGTGTGCTGAAAAGGTGTCATTTCAGCTTATATTTTTTTATGAAGATAATTTTCTAATTCTTTGATCATGTAAAAGCTGTATTGATTTCAAAATGAATGAAATATCCGAAAAAATACGCTGTGCAATGCGTTTTTAATATAATGGTAATGGTAAAAACGCTGCAAAAAAATTGTGAAGTGTACGGTGAGAATGTTGTAACTAAAGAAATAACTCGGGAGCGCCTTGCTCAATTCCGTTCCGGAAATTTCGATGTCAAACATGCATTTCGCAATCACTAAAAAAGTCCAAAAAATTTGGCAACAAGCTGTCAGCAAATAACAGATGCGCTAAACATCAGCCACATGACAGTTTGGAATTATTTAAAAAGAGCAGACCACAAAAAGAAGCTCGAAAGTGCAGGAAAACCTGCGGAGATTTTTCAGTATTACCCATTATATTCTTAACCAATTTTGCGATCATGTATTTTTCACATTTATATTTACTTTCCCTTTCAGATTTGGAGGTCTCGTGCTAAAGCTAAACAAATGAATGTTGATGCTTCAAATAATAATGAAGCATTCTATTTGAAAAACTCAGAGGACAAATGACTGCTCTCAATTTACTTATTGTTGTACTAACATCAAAAAATCTATTTTGTTAAATTTAAAAATTGTGAACTATTTGTCGTTTGCATTATTTTTATTTAATTCTAATATGAGATTAAGATATATTTTCAGGTGTGTCCCAAAAATTTATTAAATTTCAATACAATGTTTGTGAACTTTATACCTATACAAGTTACGCATATTGTTTATTTGCTTTAATTATTTAAACATTTTATTATTTTATTAATAATCAAATCAATGAGTTTAAAATTGCTTTTAATAAATATATACGAATATATGTATATTATTTTTTTAATGTTATCTATAGATACAAAACTAAGAATTTTATGCAGTGATTGAAAATTGAAGACTACTAGCTAATAAAGTAGAGAAAATAATTGTTTAACAATGTACAAGACTTATACGATTTATCATTTCTTTAGTTGCCAGCTGGCAGGTAGTCAAAATTATCGTTCTGCTCTAAAAGAGGATTATCTTGATTGTCAAATTTACGGTTTTTACGTCGTTTTTCTGGATGGCCAAAACAATTCTGACATTCTTCATCGTCTTCCGAAGAGCTTTCTCCAAATGCCGTCGGTTTCTTGTAGATACAGCAACCTAAAAGTTACGCGCGAGTGTAAACTCGTACCTGTTTATAAATGGCTTCACTTACATTTAGATTTCTTTTTATTCAAATGTTCATTGTCAACGGTACCTTCATGCCAGACAACTTTCTTACTGTTCTTCGGCTTTTGCAATCTTAGTCTAAGCACTGGTCGTGGCTACTCATAACAAAAAAGATCTCAGTATTTCTCAGACTAAAGTCCAAAATTCAAGCAAATATGATTACCTTACCGTCGTATCTGATATATCCTCATGTGCAATAACTTCAGTTTGTGAAATGGTTAGTGAAGCTTCTGAATGTGCAATTGCTGCGTCCATATTTTATTCCTTAGTTTCAATTCAGTTAGCGTTATCACACATACATGGAGAGAGAATCAATGACTAATTCCTATCCTAAATTTCATCCGTATAAACCCAAATAATTGGTGATTTTTTTATATTTTTTTTTTGTTAAACACTTGTAGAAATTTCTAGAATGTATTTTTAACAGATGATTGTGCTTACAGTGCATTCTATAGGCGGAGTAGAGTTGTACTCACTGGTATATATCTGGCCATATTTAAGCAGGCGATTATCGCCTGATTTTTTCAGAGACAATTAATTGTCGCCAAGAGGCTAATCATGTATCATCGTCGTCAGCTTTCCAATACTTCTGCTCAAATTTTCAAATCCAAAGCATTAATAACTGAGAGACAAACAATTTTTTTTTTGTGGCAAACAATAACAAGCATTATTATTATTTTTTTTTTTTTTTGTTTGCATTTGATATGGATTGGACCTTTTAACTTAAATTTATAATTGAAATAAATGATGCTTTTTTACTAAATTTTTTCAATTTTTTGCTTTCTAGGTTATGTTTGACTCTTTTTTTATTTCTTTATTTCAATTGAGTAACAGGCTGAAGTTGGTTGTGTGCACCCCAACGACAGCATGAAGACTCCAATAACAAGCATTAATAACAAAAGTAATGGATAATTATGTAGAATTTGAAAAGTGCAAAATGCAATAAAGTTAAATTTAATGTTTAAATTTTTAGGTCATTCGTTTAGCATGAACACTAGAAATAACACGTCATTTGAGTTTCAGCAAACGGTATCTGCCCAATTTTCTTTTTTTCGTGTTTTATCGGTGTTAGGGTTTGCAACAGAAGCGAAATTTTTGGAAATTTTAAAACAATAAAAAAAATATATATATACATTTCTTTTCTTTTTCCGTCCGGATTGGTATGTGTTCCCCGTGATAACAGCAACAACAACATCAGCCTGTCTCCCTATGCAGACAGCGTCTGAATTAATTGTCATGGATAGAGACGATTTCGAGGGTTTCTATACGAATGAGCATAACAAGAGATCGAGGATGGTTGGAGATGATGTTGATCTATCGCCCAAAGGAGGAGCTGTAGGTAAAGCTTTAACATTGCTCCAGAAACAGGTAGGTAATAAGTCTTATAATTTGGGTGCCAAAGCCATTCCAATTCACGATATCAACTTGTATGACTATCTTTCGCAATGCAGTTTTGTAGTTTTTGTTGAAATTCGTGAAAGTGACGAGAGAAAACGTGTAAACATCAACTCGGACCTTTTGTTTGTGATTATTTAAAAACTTTAAACATTGACGGTTTACTAGAATTAAGAGTGGTTAGCAATAGCAGAGCTAAATTGTTTTTCAGCTCTGTTCGTAATGCTAACAGCTTCGTCAAAGACAATGATTTCATAAAAAAGAATTTAAAAGCATATATTTCGACAGCTTTCACGGAAAGTTAACGAAGAAGTTCGAAAGGTCTTCACTGAAAACAGTGAAAGCAAGGTTATCAAAAAACCTGTCTCCGACGTTCCTATTAAGTCTGCTGTAAGGTTTCGAAGATGGAATCTTAACAACTATGACGAGTTCATTCCAACCACTAGCATCAAAATTGGTTTTAAGGGGAAAGCCCTCCCCAAAGCACTCAAATTTAATTTTTGTAATTTGCCCATGGAGTATTTTGTACGATGTGTCTAAGTTCTGCAAAGCAAAGGGGAAAAGGTGCTTAAACTGCCAAATGTGAAAAATGTGCAACAACGAGATGCTTGTCCTGTCGTTCAGGTGAGCACAATACTTTAAATAATTGTTGCCCGAACAGGGAACTGGAATTAAATATTAACAAGATCATAGCCATTAAAAATCTCTCCTATAAAGAAGTGAAAGCGACTACTTTGAATGTCTGGATGACAATTCCTACGACGAGAATTTCCCTCAATTGGGGAATGCGTCTGCATTTCGAGCAAAGATGATAATGAAAACGCAAATAATATTTTAACAAAGAAAAAATTTAATGCGGTCGTTAAAAGGAAATCTGTTATTTCCAAACCTTTTCCCCGTTCACCCATCAAACCTTCTCTCAATTCACCCTCCAAGCCGTCTGTAACAAGGCCCCAGCGGCCAATAATTTGGAAGAACAATTTTCGTTTCTCGGAACTTAGTAGATTTATCTTTGCGATTAAAGAATGTATTCGTCCGATGATCCCTCAGATTCTTGTTAAGGAATTCGAAAAAAAAATGTTTCTCTGTGCTAATACTCGTCACGATCAATCACTCTGTACTGCGAGAAAATCCGCAGGGGTTTCTTTTTAATTTAAAATATGATGTCGTTTTTACAATATAATGTCCAATCCATCCATCCATAAAGTGTTCTACGTAACTTGTCGTTTTTGTATTTTTAGATGAGCTCGATTAATATTGATTTCTGCATCTTATGTGAAGTTTTTCTGAGAGATGGAAATTTTTTTTAAATTAAAGTGTCCAATTATACTTTAGTCACCAAATGCCGATATGACGATTATGTTGACGTTAGTATACTAGTTAAGAAAGCCGTCCATTTTACACGTATTCCCTACAATGCTGCTGGTAACATTGTCATCATCAAAACCATGACTCTTAAATCGAATTTTTTCATAGCATCACGCTACTTTTCACCCAGCCTTGATGTACAAACTTTTCGTGATGAGATTCAGAGATTCTGTGACTTTGTTGATGGTGCACAAAACGTGATTCTAGCCGTAAATTTCAATGCTAGACATTGCTTGCACGGCCATCAAGTCTCGACCAGTGCTAGCAGTTTTAATGTCTTAAATAGTTCTAATGTCTTAAAACCGGAGTGGTCGCACGGAAAGCAGTGTCTTGGACCTAACTTTTTCGAATCCAACTATTTTATCATTTAACGCGAAGATGACCAACGTCTCCGCTAGCAAAAGGCAGCTTTCTCCCATTTTTTTTAACAGTCGCAATGAGTCCCTTAAAAAAATAGAAAATGTCATATCATGCAACTTCTTTATGGAACGTCTGTCTAAAGTTGATTTTCCTTCCGATTTATTATCAATTCAAAGTGCTTTTCCGTCTAAGATCGAGTCTGCTAGAACCAAGTTTTTTTGATATTGAGTCCTTATCACCTAAACCTTGGTAGAAATCTTCTCCGTCAATACTCTCCTATTTTTTCTGGAATTATAACAATGGTCCTCGGCATTTTAGTCAAAAATTCATTACGTTGTAATGGAGTTAAGTATGATATGTCCTGCTGCATTCGATTAATAACTGCTGGTCTATTAACTTTACACTCTCAGAATTGCGATGTATCAAAGTTGTTCCCATTCCTAAGCAGGCAAAGACTTAAACGATTAAAGTAACTTTAGACCAAGTTCGCTAATATTTGTATTCATAAAGATTAACAAAATGTTTAGTATCCACAGATGTATTTGAAGAGGAATTGAAAATTTAAGAGAATTCTACCGAGCTTAATCAACTTGACACAACCATAAACTTTTCTGTTGTCCAAGGGAAGCGCAACGACGATTTTACTAGCTTTTCTTAAAATTAGCTATGAGAAAAGGTACTCCATTGACGCACATGTTCGTTAATTTGGCGTTTTTAAAACGCTCAAGAACGAGCTAAAATAATGTTCCCAGCTTTAAAGAAATCCATTAGCCTCTCCTTAACCATGAGGATAATCCGGAATGGTCGAACGAGTTTTACGCTTGACTACGCCGTTGTAAAAACCCGTGCAAATTTTATTTATACTATAGAAATTTGAAATTGCTTGTGTTTTTCTAATAAAGAAGCTTTATTCATACTATAGAAAACTGAAATTCTTTGTGTTTTTCGAATACAGAAGCTGCTATAAGTTTTATTCATGTTTTTGTGTATATAGTTCGTGTCTTTTCAGTGTCTTTGCAAAAACTGATTATTGCGGATACCGCATGTGACTTTGTTTCCTCTAAATATAATAAAAAAAAAATCACAAATACAAAAAAAATAAATAAAAATTGGAAACAATTGACATTATCCTCAGTAGTTCGTAAACCTTTTCAATTGAGTGGTTATTTCACAAATTACTAAATAATACACAACCATAAGGCATAATGGCCCCGCGGCCACCAGATAAAAACTCAAATAGATTTCATTTATTAGCGGACATATCCCCTCAAAGAAAAAAAATTAAAAATTTCGACTTTCCGGTGTTGCCAACCAGTAACATTACTCCTATTGACAAAAAATACGTTGTGATTTCTTCAACTGATCCAACAATTTCATATATCAGTCATTTTGCTATTAAAAAAGGGCTAGATACCATTACAACATATATAGACTCTATTTCGATTCTACGCGATGGGAACTTAGTTGTCCTCGCTGGGAACCGTCGGGCAACCGAAAACCTCATAAAATCGAAATTATTAGCTAATTTATGTGCTATTTCCGCTAAACTGCATGGCGAACTGAACGCGGTTCAAGGCGTATTTCATGCTCCACGCTTAAAGCATGTTCCGGAAGATGAAATTGTTCGCAAAGTGGGCAATCAAGGAGTGACTGAATTTTATAAACTTACCAAATTAAATGACCATGGAAAAACCCGCTCCCCTACAGAAAGGGTTGTTTTGACTTTTAACCGCTATCGGCTACCGTGAACTGTTGATGTAGATTGGTAAATGTGAAGTAGAACTTTACATTCCAAATTCTATGAGGTGTTAAAATGTCAACACCTGTGTCATACGGCCTTGATCGACACTTGGCCTTGGACAAACAATGCCCACGTTTTATACAAATAAGTGAAATTCTAGAAATCAAAACAGAAAATTACTGTAGCATGGGCGAAGCGCGGCGCAAGTATCGGGAAATTAATTCATCTGGAACCCAAAGAGTTAACAAACGTAATATCTACGCTTCTGTCGCCTCACAAATAGAGCCTAATAAGCCTTTAACTCCAACTCCTTCCAATGAAAAACCTGTTCTACCATCAATCAAAAATTACATTGCGAAACCAGTTCCATTATCCACCAAAAAAAATTGAAAAAATCAAAACAACAGCAAATATTGAAAAATTAAAACAACGACACGTATGCGAAAATCTAGTAAACTAGATACCCCAGAAACATCAGCTGTTAACTCTAGACGACAAATTAAAAGTTGTAATGAATCCAATCTTTCTTCCTTTAATCAATCTTCAATTTCAAATTATTCACTTGCGCCCACTCGTTACACTTCA